GTGTACTTGTATGCGAAATAATGAAATAATCTTAGACTTAATCATGATATAATGGGAATCTATAGACATACTATAGTAGAAGCTAGGATAAGGTAGCGAGATCTGGACGGTCAAACGATTCCACTACCATCACAACCGCGCTACATTTTGTTACTAACAGAATAGAGCCACTAATAAGTTGAGGGGCAACCGGCATCTCACTTGCAACAGATTTTCTCAAGTAAAACTCAGCAAACCTTATACTACTTTAATTATTACCATTATTATGCATTATAGCTGTCTGCGAATTAAAAAATACACCATACATTAATACACTACACACATTTCTAGCTAGCTTTTAGTGAGTTTAGATTAATAGAAAGCTAAAATTGTTTGTCAAACCATCATAGAATTACTTTACGATATGCGTTAATATGTAAGGCTGTCATCGTTTTATTGTATAGGATGTATTAACCCTATTACGCTTAAGGTGATGAAAGACTGATAGCTGAATTTTCCCACAATTATATGAGTGGAGTTGAAGTTTCCAATGAATTTCACATAGCCTTGCTTTTCCAAAAGGCGTTCTCATCCAGGGTGGACTGCAGTTTCGATATCACATAGGTCTTAACAACATCCATGGCAGGAGTCGAGCAACGACAGTGCAGCGTGTAAGCTCAACACGTTAGCCACTACGCCACGAATGATCTTGGGCCACAGGGCAAAGTTCAAAGAAGGCCAGACATTTTCACATATCACATTTTTCGTTTATAAGCAGAGTATCGAGACTATCCGTAAATCATTGTTACGAGATGTATTGATCCTATTTCGTTTAAGGTGATAAAGGACTGGTAGATGAATTTTCCCGAAATGATACGAGTCTCTGAACTCTGCTTGTAAATTAAAAATAAGTAAAGTAGTCGATTATTATAGCAAAATGTAGCTATGCTTCGTCGACACTAGCACCAAAGAATGTGATATGAGAAAATGCCTGGCCTTCCTTGAAATTCACATCTGCCGTTTGACCCAAGGGCATTGGTAGTAATGCTGCGTAGTTGTTAATATTCAGAGATTATGCACTGTATCGCCATGGTTCGAGTCCGGCGGGGGTGCTGATAAGAACTAGGCGAAGTTGAAACTGCCGTCCATCATGGATGAGGATATCTTTTGGGAAAACAAGGCTATGCGAAATTCAATGGCTGTCTATTCAAATCATTGTAGGAAAATTAGACTACCGGTCCAACTATCACCCCAAACGAAATAGGTTGAATACACTTCATATTCATTAGCTGAAACTTAGTCCCACCAGTAACCCTGAAATCATTATAAGACTATGTAGAAAAACTGGGTTTCGAAGAATCCCTTAATAGATTGACGAAATGAAAAGTACTCAAACATTACAAGATTATAGAGGTTGTTTGACCTTGTCTTCGCAACTTGATCATATTGGTAGGAAGACTTAGAGGAACGCACCTAGTCCAGAGTCCATTGTATGCATGATCATTTCCAGAGTAGGAGCTTGGACGTGGTACATTCCCAGACGTTTCGGCAGCATTGTCAGTGAGTCTCGCCATTCTTAGCACCTCAAAGAGACAAGTGGAGCCGATACTTCAACCAAACATGTGCTTAACAGTTGTGGTATATCCCCTTCTGCCCTGGGCTATTCACATTTCCTATATCCTCCTATCACACCTTCACTATTACAATTTTTACCGTTTTTATTTCGATGTAGTGGTGTGTGCTCCTTTGAGCGGAATTCATGAAAACCATTCACACTCCACGTTATCGTTCTCACCCCCTTCACCCTTGTGCTTGGAATGTTGATCAGAGTCTGCCATATTGTTACGCAGTCCCCTTTCCCTAGGTCTTATTACAGTCTCTCACTCGCCCCGTAATATCCGTCTACCCCCTCCTTGGTTCACGTATTTCACTCGACCTCTGCCACCCCATCTGTGCTACTCGAGGCGTTATTCGCCCTCCCCTGCG